TCGTGAATACAAGGTCTAAGGTAGTGGCACTTCTGGTTGGCCCTCTAACATATTGAGTCCAGCCATTGAGGTGAATACATGAGATGATTTTCTCAATCCCCGCAGTGTTTCTGAGTGTAGGCAACATCCAGTTAACATGTGGTAGGTTGAACTCTCCACACAGTTTTGGATTTATATGTGCTGGAAGCAGCATTGATCATGTCGATTAGCTTTTGGGTTTCACATTGAGTAGTTCGGGGCGGCCGATAGATACAACCTACTAGAAGATCAGTAGATGGGATCACTAGCCATAGTGTATCTTCTAAGCCACTGTACCCAGGTTGATCTGCGGGAATTGCAGTCAGGTTATTTCGAAGATATATGGCACAGCCACCACCACGTTTGTGTGAGTGATCCTTGCGGAAAAGTTTATAGCCTCAGATGTTAAGCTGAGAATCACTAATTTCTGATGTGCACCAAGTTTCAGTGATAAAAGCAATATCGGGGGATCTCATAAACATAAGTGTTGAAAGTAGATTAAATTTGGGTAAAAGGGGACGAATGTTAATGACGAGCGATTTGAAAGACATTGTTAAATTGGAATAAAAGTGGTGGGTAGTGTTTATTTCATCGTCATTGTATCTAAGATCTGTGTGTTGTGAGGTAGCTGAGGCACACCGAGCTCTACATCGTACTGGATTTGATGAAGTACATACTCCAGTAGTTTGATTATTCTCTGATTCATAATTGCACGTGATAAGGGCTGGATTGGTGGTGGAGGAAGTGGTGGTGTACTATAGTCTAAAAAAGGACTTACATCCGTAGTATACAGGGGTGGGGGGATGCTGAAGTCTACAAACTCATTTTTCTTCGGATTGTATTGTTGCCAATTGAGTAATACAGGGGGTGATGGTGGATGAATTCTGACTTGAGGTAGATAGGGGTTTCACCCTCTTACCTGTAAGTCCGTGTGGTCTACCACCATTTTGTTTGCTATTTCCATGTCGCACACATAAGGGCTTTGCCAGCTTGAGGTCGCGGGCTTTGGAAACGTAGTCAGAGAAATTGTGGGTAAGTATTGGGCCGGCTCTGCGACTTATTCCGACAACAGTGTCGATGTTGCATGTAGAAGCTTGAGGATGTACACTTTTTCTCAGTTGGCCTAGCTGCATATCTCTACGTTCTTGTGGTGGTCTTTTCAGACCTAATGTGCTGTGCATAAACCATAGAATTACCAATAAAAAATGCCATGATGTACAGCACTTGAAAGAAAGGAATAATAAGGGGAAACAAAACACATCAATCTTTTTATCATTTTTGCACGCGGAATTTTGCATTTTTCTCTCTTAAAGAGGAAATGCTAATGAAAACGGGAATTCATGCAAACTTGCGCACATTGTTTCCACGGAAACCGGGTGTGCGGCACTACGTCGAGCGCGTATGTGTCACTGGCATTCTTCAACTTTGGGTCCTCAACCGAGAAGAAATAGGCGGCCAGAAATGGCTAGGCAAGATGTCTCTGCTTTTCTGCTTTGTCGCCGAGTGATCGGCTGGCTTCCACGCAACCTCTTCCCATGCGGTTCTGCAAACGCAAATAGAGCGTGACGTGGTAGACGCTCGATAGGTGTACGCAAGACGCAGCCACACTGACTCAATTGGTGCAACAGAACAAGCTCACAAAGGGGAAGATCCACCTTGTGCAAGACGCGGTGGCTGACATCATCATTCCGCACTTGATGTTGCCACCACACACGAGCGGTCCTCCACAAACAGGCACTGTTAAAGTCCGAAAACCGATACTTGTCAACTACACGGATCATTCAAGATTCTGCACCCATACAACAGTCTCGCGCGAACGCAGGCATTGTAAACCCTGCTCTCTAACGAGAGCAATATGTTGCGACGACGCCACATGTCCCATATTGGCAAAAGACGACCGCTCTTTAGCGGTACGAAGGAATGTCTCTTCTGGAGTGGTGCGTAGACAAAATGCAGATTTCTAGGTAGATAAAACCATTGGTGTGTTCACACTGTATGCCTTACATGGTGAGTTGAGGAACGGGTGTCTGCCAATCCCGTAACAGCACTTTACACTTGGAGTGGACGAGACATACACCATGCTTAGATGCAAATGTCAATTAAATACCATGAAAGTCATCACCAAGCAAGGCAATGTCATGAGGGTAATCCAAGTCGGTTGCGCGATTACCTGGAAGGAGCTCAATACAAAAACTCTGCATCCTTTCTAGAGAGTTTTCAGCAGGACGTCTTCAATCATAAATTCGAAAAGAAACGGATGCATAGGGACTCTTTGTCGCACAGCACTGGTGACAAAGAAGAGTGCATGAAGCTCGTCTTAGGCTCTCACTCTGGGTCAACAAGGACACAAGGAATGTGCAATGCTCCGTACTTGTGACTGTACGGCCAAGTAACAAAACAGAGTCCATGAGCCGAATCCCACAGTGCTTTTATTGGATCACCTAGCTCTATCTACTTCTTCGCCATGCAACACATTACGGGATACAATGCGTTAGTTCCATAGGGTGATTTTCGGGAGGGGGCGGTAATGTATCATGGGGAAGTATGCGGTGTGAAAAAGACAACTGGCAGGTGTGACTTTTGGTGCGAGAATGAGCGGATGTCGGGCATGTAGGTGTCCCCAGGGACAAGGTGTACAACGGGAAGCTAGTAATGGTGACAGCGGGGATTGGAATAAAACCATTGGGACGTTAAATAGGAAAACATATAGGTTTTGCCAAGTAGGTAGCCCGCTGGAGTTAAGCAAATGCGACTGATGATCCCTAGAAATTTCTCAGAATCCAACTTGCGACTTTCGTGGTAATCTTACCGTTTATAGGTAGAACGGCCTGTAGTCGGTTTCCGAGGGCTAAAGCCCAATCGACCGATTCAGGGATCGTAGCTGCTAATAGCAAGACTCTGCTGGTGCTACGAGTTCCTTCGCTACCCCTGAGGTACCATAAAATTTTTTAGCAATTTGGGTCTTTTTGAATATGTAAGACATCTGTGAAAAGTAAGGAATATCACCTGGTATGAGTCTTGTAGTTGCCACTCCTCTAGGAAACGCTGTGTTTTTCCGCTATCACCGTCAGTGCACAAATCTCGTGCTCTGCCCCAATCGATTTATCTTTGCAGCCTAAGTTTTGAGGCAAATGGACCATCTTGTTATCCACAATCTTCTGTGAGCTTGATGCTGCGTCGGAATCTGTCTGGTCTCTCACCATCGAATTTTATCCGGTTAGTGTCTTTGAAAGCACTAGAAGAGAAGTATTCTATGTAACTCAGTGGATTACGAAGCCCACAAACCATTGCATCGCGTTTCTGCGCACTCTCGCCGTGACAGCCGAGTAATGTCTAAAATTCAACATACTTAAAAACTTCATGCCACGTTTCAGTTACGAACCGACACTATCTTCTCACGAGAAACGCAGGTTGGGATAGACACACGGTATCGGTATCACTTGAGTGCGCAGACCTATGATGAAACCGGGTGTTTTAGGTTGCGAAGACGTTTTTTCTGAGTTATGCAGTTGCTTTTTACTTGCAGGTGCGTTGAATCTTTGTACACTTTTCGCTCCTTGCTCACCTGCTCTGCTTCTTACTGCCTTCACACCTTACGACTTAGGGCTATCCGGTTACTGTGTTACTCCTGACCTAACACCTTTGCTGACTTGGGGCAACACATCTTAGATCCGAGAGATCGCGTGCACCTCATGATCGGAGGTAAATCTGGCCACGAGTCTACACCATCATCATAAGATAAAAGTTCGTTTTCTGCCTTATTCTCAGGCCCTTACCTTGTATGATTGAGCATATCCAGTTGAATATCTACAAAACTCAACATCTTTCTGTCTAGGGCAGTCACTTTTGTTTCTTCGAGATGCCTCTTCGAGTGAACTACATCTACAGTGTTTTTATCTTAGGAACTACCTTTCTATCGAACATACCCTAGGTGTTGCCTGCCCGTGATAGTGTACTTCATGATCAATCTAGTACTCATTTGCACTCGTCAGGTAGGAATATTAGGACATTGGAATGTCAGTTGAAGTCCTTATCTTTAGGCCACCATATCACGATGAGCGTTGTCTGTCACAACGCTTGATCAAAGCTTCAGTGGCCCCGAATCGGCCAAAGTTCACTTCAAGGTGGATCACGGTCCAGATTGAGCTTGTGCCTCGCAAATCATTCACGCACCGAAGACTTCAAAATAGCCCCACATTTACCCCTCTGTCGCTTCTATTGCAGCCGTTGTTATCATCAGGTTCATGGTGAAACTGTCATATTGTTAATAATTACTCGGACTGAATTTACACTAGGGGCTAGCATTGGTGTTTTCTAGTTAAATCTTCCATCATCTACATGTGGACAACTTCGAGGTGAGTTTGTTACCGATAAAAGGTCGTCTTCGATTTGCCTACATTTGTTGACATTTCGCGCGAGTTTCCGCCACCAGACGTGTTGTATGTAACTGCGAAAGTAGCTCAAATCTTCTAACAAGGAATGACTCGGTCATAACCAATAAGGGCTTGTGTCGAGCTGCAATCCGCAGTTATGTACTGTTATAACGTCCAATAAATTGATCAGAAAGGATCGATTCCTCCCGACCCATTGAGCTCATGTCAAGTGGAAGACTTGCTGGTTTGCGGTTGCCTTGTGTTCTATAGCTTTGACGCTACTCGGCTTGTCCACCTTAATTTCTCGTTTTTTTTCCACAGTATCTAGGAATTGAACCGTCCTAGCAATAACACAATCATCAGCGCCAGTTGGCCTGACTTTTCTCTACCCAGTCCGCATGATTAATCTTCTAGTCCGGATGCATGGTTTTCGGGGAAATTATCTGCACCGGCCGCACTACCTTAGGCCACCACGTTGTCTGCCATAGACGCATGTTCGGATGCATGAAGTTTGGTCAATAGATCCGGTCCACATGGGTATTGCCACTGACAATGGGTCTACTGCGCATTTTTTCACGTTTCATTGCCCTTCCACTCTCTCTGTTTTAGCTCCTGCAGAATTGAAAAAAATGGGTGTGACCAACTGGCAATCCCCAACGGTTTTTACACAACAACAGCGGCAGCATTTCTCCGGCGAAGTGGCTCCGGGGAAAATGGTGCAGCCCATAGCTACCGTGTCCGGTGTCGGATCTGTCCCCGGATCTCCACCGGCATCCCACATTGGTCTTGGTACTCGAACCAACCCGTATGATCTGAGACCTGGTCTGGGGCTCCAGCTAACTTGTGAAACGACGTGTGGTTATCCCGAAGCCAACGTTTCATGGCTTATTGTGAACGAGGTTGGTTCAACCGTGTCTGTTCGTCCGATCGCTTTCCTGCACTAATTACTCTTCACTGAGAGCTTTAGCGGGAGTCCGGATGGCGATTCCAAAATCAGATCGAATTGCAGTGAAACTTTTCTTTTACTAATTGGTAGGAGGATTTTAATTGTAATTTTCAGTGTTTTTCGTCCCAGTAGCTCACAAGCTACATAGCACATCTAGTCCGGAAAAGCACCAGACGCGTTTCACCCTATTGAGGCTCGTCATTGGTATGCATTCCCTCGCTCCCCTACTGAGGATCGAACCCATGAGGCAGATGCTAACTATCCAGCTGCTTAAGCCACTGAGCCATGGGGATGTCGGCTGGGCTTAAGCTGCTAGCTAGTTGGCATCTGCCTCTAGCGGTCCTGGGTTCCAACCCCAGTAGGGGACCGCGGGAATGCGCACCACTGACGATTCCCAACAGGGCGAAACGCGTCTGGTGCATTTCCGGATTAGGCTGGGCTATGTAGCTTGTGAGCCACGAGGACGAAAAACCTTAAAAAAGAAACTTATTTGTACAACAAAAGGTGTTCTGTTTGCCTAGCAATAAACTAACGACATCGTTGACGTAGCTAGTTAGAGGAACGAATAAGGGCAGCACCTAAGAACGATCGCGCGTTGCGATCAAAACGACCGCCAGACAGAGACGGTGCTCGACTCAAGAAGTCGAACTCAACATATGGTTAAGACTAGAACGCCCGGAGCGGTCATTTTGACCGCTCAGCGTTTTTGAATGTGTATATTTTCTACATTTATGGACATTTTTCAAAGATATTTCGTGACTTTTAATACTTTTGGACGTTCTTCATTACTGTGAATTTTCGTTTTCATATCTGTTATAGTTTTCGAGAAAAGAGGTAGCTGTGTTCATACTACCTAGAAAGCCCGTTAGCGGTCAAAATGACCGCTTCTCTCTAATCCGGTTCCTCTTTTTATTTTTAGCCACCACTATCATTTCTGACAGTTATATACTATAGCAGTCAAAACGGGAGTGAAAACTAGCCGAATCACGATTTTACTGTGATATTGTGCGTTCAGTCAGATAAATTCCAGTGACATTTTTGTACACAATGGCACTTCTGAGGAAAACAGCCTTTGAGGTTTTACGAGAACTTACAAACATCGATGACAACGAGTCTGGAGACGAGAACGATTATGATGTTGATGAGGACTCCATCTTCAATGAGTCAGCAGAAGATCACAGCATGTCTGATAGTCAAACGTCTGATGATTACACTCCATATGAGGACCCTAGAGAGAGTGTATCAACCGATTCGGTATCTCCCGGTGAGCTTCACGTATCGAAAGGTGGTAGCACGTGGATTGCAGTGGAGTTCGAAACATCTACTGTTGGTAGGATTCCATCACAGAATGTGTTTAAGGCTAGACCAGGACCAACTCCCTATGCTAAGAAATGTGTGGAACATGGTGAGCTGTCGAGCACTTTTGACATCAATGGTGGATGTTTGTGAGTAGTGTAAAGTTCGAAGAAAGTAGAAGCCACGATTAAAATTCACGCACAATAATATGCCTCGACGGGGAGTCGAACCCCGGTCCACGAATTTCCGGTCCGTTGCTCTACCACCTGAGCTACCGAGGGCTGACGATTAGGTGCGCAAATTTTAACACATGTCTTCTGCTTGGTGCGCGACGTGTTGCCAATAAGCTCACAGTACCTGTCATGATGTTGCAGATTGGCTCACTCACCCGTCACTTCCCAATAGACCGAAGTTCCTGTCCTTCAGACGTCCAATGGGCGATGGTAGATTAATGGTGGATGTTTGTGAGTAGTGTAAATTTCTTCGAAATTTACACTACTCACAAACATCCACCATTAATCTACCATCGCCCATTGGACGTCTGAAGGACAGGAACTTCGGTCTATTGGGAAGTGACGGGTGAGTGAGCCAATCTGCAACATCATGACAGGTACTGTGAGCTTATTGGCAACACGTCGCGCACCAAGCAGAAGACATGTGTTAAAATTTGCGCACCTAATCGTCAGCCCTCGGTAGCTCAGGTGGTAGAGCAACGGACCGGAAATTCGTGGACCGGGGTTCGACTCCCCGTCGAGGCATATTATTGTGCGTGAATTTTAATCGTGGCTTCTACTTTCTTCGAACTTTTGACATCATAATCACGCCCCAGATGCTGAAACATATTCAAGTATTTACTGAAGCTGAGGCCAAGAGAGTTTTAGGTGTCAGTTGTCAGTGAAGCGTAAGTCTTCCAGAGCTGCGTGCCTTTATTGGTCTACTTGACATCAGAGGCTTCATGGGTCTGAAGAACATGCCGTTGAATATGATGTGGTGCGATAGATATGGACTGCCTATTTTCAGGGAGACAACTGGCAAGAACAACTTCAAAGAAATAATGAGGTTCCTCCGTTTTGACATGCGAACTGCCCGATGTGAAAGATTGCTAACTGATAAGTTTGCTTTGGTATCTAAATTGTGGAATGCATTCATTCGCAACTCTCAACAATGCCATGTACCTGCGCAGAATCTCGCAGTTGATGAGCAATTGTTTCCCTTCAAAACCCGTTGTCGTTTTCTCCAGTACATCCCCAACAAACCAGATAAGTTCGGTATCAAGTTTTGGATGCTGGCAGAAGTAGACAGAAAGTATCTCGTTAATGGATTTCCATATCTCGGGAAGGACGAGACTCGGTCAAGAGGAGAAAGTCTTGCAGAGAGAGTGGTATTGCGCTTGGTGTCACCATTATTTGGAAAGGGGTACAATGTCACATGTGACAACTTCTTTACATCGGCAGCGTTAGGAGAAATGCTGGCCAAGAAAAACACAAGTATGCTGGGAACAGTTCGAGCTAATAGAAAGGAAGTACCATCGATTTTAGAGCAAAGAAATAGAGAGCTTTTCAGTTCACTTATGATGAGGAATGAAAATAAGCACACCTTAAAATCCTACCAGTGTAGAAGGAATAAGAGTGTTTTGGTTTTCAGTTCCCTGCATAGTAACTCTTCCGTTCAAGACGCTGGGAAGAAGAAACCCGAGACTGTGTTGTCTTACAACTCCACAAAGTATGGTGTGGATGTACTCGACCAAATGACAAGAGCATTCACTGTGAAGTCGTCATCTCGACGATGGCCAGTCCAAGTCTTTTTCAACGTACTGGATTTGGCTGGCATAAATTCCTGGATAATTTATAACAGTGCTTGCGGAACTAAAATATCTCGCCGGTCGTATCTGGTGGGTCTTTCGGAAGAACTGCTTACATGTATACATCACACAAGGTACGTGACAACGGGAATTCCGACGAACAACTCAGCGGAGTCGGGAAGTCGTGTGACCATTAAACGTCGGCAGTGTCAGATTGGTTACTGTAAAGGTAACAAATCACAAAACAAGTGCTCTGTTCGTGAAAAATAGTTTGCTGCTCATGTGGACAGATTGAGCGAGTTATCACTTGCTTCAAGTGCAAATTGGAGTAGGTATACGGAATTGTTTACAATGTTTGAAAAAAACTAAACCTTAATACAATCATTTTTCTGTTACAGGTATGTTCTAAACATTAGTTTTTAATAAATGCCGTGAAAAAATTCTTAACTGAAAGTTGGGATAGAAAAATATAGTAGTGTGGTCATTTTGACCGGTCCCGGGCGTTCTAGGTATAACGGCGGAGCGGTCTTTCTAGTGTTAAACAATCCACACCGGTCGCCTAAGTATGCAATAAAATAATACTTTTAGTATTTTACACAGGCAAGCTGGTGGTACCTTCAGACTGTTACTGAGCTCATCTACATGTAATCTGGTTGATCTTGTTAACGCATCAATGCACGCTAGATTTCAAGCTGCATCGTACTGGGTACTTCGCGGCGAAACCACATTTTTATTGGAGGCAGTTCAATTTCCCTTTACCTTGTTCCACTTTCAGGTCTCGACTTTATTTCCACCATAATTGCCGAACGCACGGTGTTCACACCTTCTTTGTCTTCGTTTTGCCCCCCTTCATTAGCTTTGCCGATGCGATTTGGACATTATTGGTAGGCCCATAAACGTTACCTCGCGCTCTGATATTGATCCGACCTCAAGCGATCCCCAAACTCCTGTGTCAATCGGTTACTTCGGGAGCCCTGTCGTGGCCTACCGTATTCCGAATGACATATGAGTACCACAGGGGAACTACTGGTTGAATTCGGTCATTAACCATGTACAAAACCATGTTTATCTTTACCCATTCAAAGGCGCTGACCGTATAATAACCTACTTGTAACTAGTATGGGATTTCGTAGGTTTTTGTGTAGGTTCGTCGCAGTTAGACACAAGCAGACAGCCACCACACATCCAGGGAAGCGCTCGACAGCCGTTTCGTCCTATTGGGACTCGTCAGTAACGCGCACCCGCCGAATCCTGCCGGATTCGAACCCACGATCATACTCTTGCGAGTCAGCGACTTATGTCACTGAGCCATGGGCGACGGCAGCAGACCGCCATGACTGTCTAACTGCGATATAGCGCGGCTCATCCTCCACTGTCTTATAAAGGAAATCGTTGCTCTGGGGGGCCAGCCCTGTCCTCTGCACCTTCATAACATGCTAGACAGTGGAGTATATCGCAGTTAGATATCAATTATGGCGGTCCGCTGCCGTCGCCCATGGCTCATCCTGTGTGATCAAGCTCCTAATCTAACCAGGACACCATGCTGACGAAGATTTGACACAGCTCACGCTCTTCTCCTGGGCAAATCGCACCCATGGGCTACGACACTGCAGCGCTCGACGGTCGGCTCCGTTGCATTTGCCTCTATTTGACTAACAACAGATGTTTTAACCCATTGTGTGTCTTTCTATCCCCCCTTGGCGGGTATTACACACTTTTCACTGTCCAATTTCTTGTTCTAAACCAGAGCATATGGGTGCTTCTTTCTAGGTTTTAGCAGCTTACAGCCCGTGTAATGAATCATTATTACCTACCTCCTGCTATATTTCCACGACATCAGCAGTTATTTAGGATCA